AAATTTTAGTAACCCATGCAGTTGCAACATAATAACGTTTCTCTATGCTAACAGGAAGCTAAGAACATTATTTGCATTCATTACACAATTACTCAACACTTACAAAAACACTGCACGAGAAAATCCAGTGGGCGCAGAGGCTTGATAGAGCACTTCGCCGAACGCGGTTTTCCATGTTCGCCACTCAAAGCTTTGAGAACTAAATCGTACGTCTGGCAAGGCTGTAATTCACGAACGAGCTCGTCATTACCAGTTCCATTAAACGCGAGATCGGAGAAGTCGAGGCTGTGAAATTTGATGCAACGGTTTTTAACGTAGTGACATTTACTCACCATGTTCTGTTCCCTGAAAAAAATACATCTTAAACGGGGGAACTCGTAAAATGTCTGCATAGAATATACATGAAGCGTACTGAAGGGCTTTATACAAAACAACAAGGTATTTCTTGGCCTTCATCATTTTTTTTTTTGAGAACCCCACGTAGCCGCAGATAGAGAAGATCTGAGAATGACAGTCGAATAACACTCGCACCAAATGTTTCCACCTTAGTCGTGCATTCCTCGATAAAAAAACATCCACAACATTCCGTCTTGTGTTCTCGTAACAAACCAACCATTTCAACAGCACGAGTCATATCAGAAGGACCACATATGCAACATGTGTGCATTTGCGTGTCCCAGCTGGCGTCCCTCGCCATAAGACACCTCGAAAATGACGTCTCGGGCCGCTGTCTCCGGGACCTTCGTCCGTCGGCCTCTGGTGACGGCGCGACACTGCGAGAGACTGCCAAGGTGGCGCTGCTAGGGCGAGGCCGCCTACTGGGCTGTCTGGGGCAGATGGCAGAGATCGCCGCTCTACTTCCGGCGGCGCGTCTCCGGAGCAGTGTCAAACCAGTCGGCGCTGAGAACGAACAGTTCCGGGTCAGCGAGAACCCAGAGGTGCTGCGGCCGTGGAACAAGGACGCGTGCCAGTGTTAAAATCGCCGACGATGCTTTCTTTGTTCTCAGCAAGAGGCGCAGACACACTTGTTTCGCTAATATGCTCACCAGTTGTGAAAGGTGCGAGAGTGATGTAGTCACAGCTAACGTCAGGTGGTGGCATTCAATGAAAGCATGTTTGATAGTTCTTGGGGTGCAGGGGTGAACTAGCGCGAACTTGCTTTAATTTCAAGATCACAGGGGGCGCCTCTGTACTTGTCCATCCAAGTCAACAGCCAATGGCATTAAACGTTCTAGATAATCGGCAGCTTTTGGGGCTTCACTCGACATGCGCACCGCGTGCACCTGAGACTGAGGCGCCTGAGACTGTAAGACCGCGTGCGCCTGAGAATGAGGCGCCTGAGACTGTAAGACCGCGTGCGCCTGAGACTGAGGCGCCTGAGACTGTGAGACCGTGTGGGCCTGAGACTTAGGCCTGATCGTCCGACCTGCGTACGTGCTACGCACCATTCAGGAACGTTGACGGGGTCGTCGCAGGCGCTGATTTCCTCGCTGTACACCAGCCCTTCATCGCAACCAGACAGGGCCGGCTCGATGCCGTTCTTGCACACGTAGAACTTGGTGCAGTCCTCCGGGTGTGCAAAAGTGGGGTGCGCGATCTTCTGGTTACTGGGCGTGAAGTAATCTATGCTCGGGTCGCACGTGAAGCCGTCGAGCGAGGTGCGCTGCCCGCACGAGCCGCGATTCGCCGACTGTGGCCAGTCGCACGTCCTGGAAGAGATGTTGTAATGTAGGCCCGGTGAGCAGATGAGCTGCGTCGGCGTGTCGTCGGAGCACGAGTAGTACTTGTCGCACACCTCCGGGTCCTCGTGCGCGTAGATGCCGTTCTGGCGCTCGCAGACGCCTGTGCCCAGTGGCTCACCAAGGGACTCGCGTCCGTAGCAGTCGACGTTGAAGATGTAGTCGCACGGCTCAGCCAGCTGAACACGGTTCGGGTCGAACGCCCAGCCGTCCTTGCATTCTTTCTTAACGGCCTCGCCGCGGAAGCAGTCCCAGTACGTATCACACTCGTCCGGGTCGATGAACTTGCCGGTGCTCTCTTCCAACGGGCATTCGAACACGTCCACCGCCGCCGCCCCTGTGGTGGACGGGGTGACGTCAGCGCACGTGAGTCGTCGGCCGGACAGCGAAGCGCGCCTTTTACGGCGCCCAGCGTGACCAGGACGGCAGTTGCTGCAGACCTTTCTAGTTTGGTCCAGAACACTATACAGCGTATGTTATGCCATTTTTGCGAGAACTAGTGCGGTTTGATCCTACACGTAGCACTGACGTATCTTCGCGCCGAACCAACAACGATGGGGTGGGGAGGGGGTGCGGGGTGGGGGGGGGGATGGGGTTGGGGTGGGACGAGGTAATATCAACACTACCTTCGATCTCGGGACCGCGGTGATCCACTTACTGGTCAAAGTGTTGACTCAAGCGCTTCAGTGGTAAAAATGTATAAAATTGAATAATATGGCATTATTTCTACATTTCTGCTGAAGCAACCACTGCCTACATTAGCTTTTTGAGACATTATATCATTTTCGGCAGTTTTAGCTTAAATACGAGACAAGGCTATCCTGTTAAAAACAGCGGAACTATGAATTGAGACTCAGGCACTGTGAACAATTAATGAAGAGGAAAGGTGAACAGGTAGTGCACATCGAGCTAGACTAAAATGGGACGCTGTTTAATGGCAATGGATTGTCAAAAGCAAATACATACGAGTCTTTGATGTGTTTGGGATCGAAATCAGAGGCATGCCAGTTGACCGATCATTGTCTGTTTTCCGCGTTACTCACCACAAATGCACTCATGCGACGAGTTCAAGAACATATGGAACGATTGGTGAACAAACAGTAGCCCGACGACAGGGAACGGTGAACATTACGCACTGGGACAAGCCAGAGTGCTGCGGACGAACAAAGATGGCATGTCGTGCAAACAGTTAATAAAAAGATCCGAGGTTAAATAGTATATATATATATATATATATATATATATATATATATATATATACAAAAATGCTTATGCAATAGATGCAATAAAAAAGAATCCGCACGGACGCTATTGATGCACAGGGAGGGCAATCTGATGCAGAAATGACGCGCGGAAAGTTGGATCCGTCTAACTCTGTAAGCGGGATTCGGTTAAACATTCACACATACCAGTTCATGTATCAGTTCGGGTGCGAAATCATCATCAATGTACTTATCACTTATCACTGTACCCTTGTTCACGCAAATTTTTGTTCTATCTCTTTCAGAGCGGCACAAATTCGAATATCCATGGAAGTCCTTATGCTCCCAGAAGCGTTATCGGGTTTCGTGAAAACCAGTGGGCTCCCGCATTAATCCTGCGGTCGGTCTGCGTACGTGGAACTGATACAAAGCCGCCCCTATTTAACAATGGTTACTGCCGTATCCCAGCCAACCTTTCCTTCACGCAAGCAAGAAAAAATCTCGAAGAGCAGAATTTTGCCGAGCTTTTGCACACATCATCCTGCAATTTACTGCATTCCAAAAAAGTTGCAAGATGTTTTGTTAGCGCATAATAGGTTTGTTCAACATTGCTGCTAGGCTTGTGTGAAAGTCTCACCTGCCAGCACGAGCGGGAGGAGAGCGCACCACATGGTGTCGTGACGGGCACTCCCGGAGAGGTGCAGACACTGGCGTAGGCTGCCTGTTCCGCCGGCCGCCGCCAACTCTAAGTACGCTCAGCGTGACCTTCATGCTGAGCAGGCGCCTCTCTTTCACCGGCGCCAGGTTTGCGTAACGGATGCTGTCGGATTTCGCGGGGGGCCGGCGGGGTTCCGCAACGGACCAAACCCGCCGCATACCACCGAGCCGACTGCTCTGATGTTTTTGGGCACGGCGTGACACCAGACGGTATCCGATGATGTTTGACAGAATGGGTCACGCATTTTGATGGCATGGACTACGCTGACGACCCGAGGCTATTCCTTTGCTTCAGATTCCACGGATGAGAAATTATTTGTTATGTTCATCATGAGCTGCCGCGGCTTAACATATGTTTTTATGCGCATGTGACGCCGACGCCATTGCGCCATAGTATATTGATATTGTATCGCCATTGAGGTTTATGTTATTTATTTGCTGCCAAAATCGCTTTAATGGCGCTCTTTTTGGCGCGTCAGTATTTTTAACATGTTTGTCTAATGTACGTTGTTTGTGTTTTGTTTTTGAGCATCGTGCGAAAATGCATTTCTCCATGCGTCAGTTTGTTAAGCAAAGTTGTATGTAATGCATCATATATACTCCATTCAGCATGGAGGTATGCTCACGGCTCATAGGTATAAATAAATGGTGTGGCAGTGACGTGCAAGGGCTGCTGATGTTTTGGTGTCACAGTCATCCGTAGTGTGACCAAACGCAAAAAGTCATCCTCCCTTGCTTAACCAAGGCGTGGCTGCATTTACTACAGACCTGAAGAACATAAATGTGTCTGCTTAAGCGTTACTTCAACTAATAATGTGTTATCGGCACAAGCACTTTCACTCGTTGAGCACTATGCCAATAAACGGCGTTGAGCATTGAGCGATATTGTACAACCTTAAATGGTAATGATGATTAAAGTTCAAGAGCGCACTGACGTCGCTGGTTATCAGACGCCCATAATTAGCACAACCTTAACGTCATGCGTGATGGACTGGGCCTGACGTCTGTAGCTGATTGCTCTTTCTTCGAGAGTGGGTTTACCCTCTAGAAGTATCCAATGATAAAGTATCAGGCCAGGCGCATTGATGTCATTCCGTAAAGGTAAGTTGATAATTACTTCAAGAAGTAAATAAGGTTTGTTTTGTCCTTTAACACACTTTCTTTGTACGTTCAATCTTAAAACTGTCTTCGTTGTCATGTCAACGCTCTTAATTTGACGGATTTATTGGATGGAGCAGCGGTTTTGTGCTGTCTGTGATGAACATCGCAGGGACTTTATTCGTGGTTTTCAACTCTGCACACAACTTCGGAGATGTCTGACAACGGGCGAAGAACATAGCGGTTGATAAAGTAATGTGTTGTATTCAGCACGGTCTTTTTATCACATTCCATTCTACAGCTGCAGCATGGAGGTTGCACGTACACACACACAAACAGTTGTACTTGTCTCAGCGATTGGTAACAACAAATGTGTGCGTCACGTAGGGGTGGGCCAAGCGGCCCCCTGGAGCTGGCAGAACCCAGATCACCAGATCAGATCACTGGGCAGCCCAGGCCATTCAAAAGGGTTGTTGACCAGCGCCAACAGTGGTCGCAGATGCCAGATCATGTCAGACCACTGGGGAAGGTCGCTGGTCTGCCCACGGACAAGCATCAAGCAACGCGTCCACCCAGATCGATAGAGGGCATTATGCTTGATGTCTCGTGCCGTGGAACATGTTCGGCGTCGCCGCGGCTCCGTCGACGTCGCCGGCTGTGACCCCGTGTGACCCACTGACGGGTGACTGGGCGGGGAGTCGGGCGGCGCGGTCCGGATGTCTTGACTAGTGCCCGGGCGGCGACGTGCTCCGGCTGGCAGCTGCCAGGCCGGCCGGCCAGGGCCGATCACGAGCGCACGGACAGGTCCGCGTCAGGAGAGTTATAGTAGTCGGCGCTGAGGGCAGGGGCATCACGGCTACTAGCGGCCCGTCGGAGCGCACTCACAGACTGCTGCTGGGTATCGCAAAAGCCATATGTGGGGAGGTTGGCAGACATGTTTAGAGCGTCCGGATGCCATGCCCAGTCAAAACACCTGAGATCACTTGAGTCCGGTAAGTTATGCGTATTTCGATGTATGTTGCTAAAAACAAGTTGACTGGCTCCATTCTTTAACGATCAGTAATTGAGACTTTTAACAGCGCGAGCACGTTGTATGAATTTCTTGGACTGCCGTGGACACCTGGAAGCTGTGGAAGGTTGCAGAGCACAGGTGCCATCCGACATACCACCAGTCGTGTCAAGGCCCAGACGATGCAACGGAAAAAATTGATGTCAATTCATGCATGCCTCCAGGGGCCGCTCCTGTCTGCACGACTGCACTTCGTGCCGCCACCAAAAATCCACCCTGACAGCATCGCGCGAAACCCCTCGACCGAGCCAGCCCTGTTTGGCAAAGCTCCAATCCGTGCTGGCTGTCAACAGAAGGCAACCGCCTGTCGCTGGGAATCAAGCATGAGCTCGCTTCGCCCCCCAAAGTGCGAACCTACCACAGCACCCCGGCTCCGACCCACCTCGTGACCCGCGGAGACGTCCAGTGCGAGCGGCGGCGGCCCCACCCACTCACCAGTCCGGCACGTCGGCGGGCTTCTCGCAGGCGAAGGTGGCGGTGCTGTACACCAGCCCCTCGTCGCAGCGGCCGATGGACGGTGCGATCCCGTTCTTGCACACGTAGAAACGCTGGCAGTCGGTCGGGTGCGGGAAGGTGGGGTGCACGATCTTCTGGTTGGCGCTGGTGAAGAACTCCTGCGACGGGTCGCAGGTGATGTTGTCCAGGGTTTGCAGGGCGCCGCACGCGCCGCGCTGGGCGCCTTCCGGCCAGTCGCACGACCTCAGGTCAAGGTTGAAGTGCAGGCCCGGCGGACAGAGTCGAAGCGTAGGCACATTCTTCTTGCACGTGTAGTACCTGTCGCAAATGTTGGGGTCCTCGTGCGCGTAGAGGCCGTTCTCTCGCACACAGACGCCCGTGCCCAGCGGGTCGCCCAGGAGCTCACGACCGGTGCAGTCGACGGAGAAGATGTAGTCGCACGGCTCCCTCAGGTGAATGAGAGCGGGGTCGAAAGCATGCCCGTCCGGACAATACACGGGCTCGGGCGTGCCGCGGAAACAGTCCCAGTACTTGTCGCACTCGTCCGGGTCGGCGAACTTGCCGGTCGTCTCATCGGGCGGACACGTGAAGGTCTCCGCGCCCAGGGCGACTGGAATGGCCCACCGGACAGGTCAGGTCAGGTCGGGTCACAGGTCAGGTGACAGGTCAAGTCACCGCCGTGCCTAGCGCCGGTGCTCAGGGCCTTGGCCAGAATTGCTTTGATGCGTCATGGTAAATGCTTTGCTTCAAAGGGGCGCTGCGATTGTACGTCCCGTTCCACCCAAACCATCAATAAAACTGAGTTTTTCAAAGTAAGAAAGCGGTAGTTCAGTGCTGATGCATTCATGAGAGCAAGCAATAATCATATTGCAATTTAGAACGCTTTCCTAGGTTAGCTCGGGTGAAAGCTTGATGACCTTGCTGACCTTGAATACGGATGAAAAACATTTTAAAATGAACACACGCACATTACGACGACATAATCACACAATAACGATGTACATGCGCTAACGGATCACTGGGTAGATATGGTAATCGCAAATCATCTTAAGGAGCGGGTTAATTGGACAACATGTTGCCGGTCTCATCAGCCAAATATGGCTTCCTTGCTCATGATTCAATGAGTCTGGGTCAGTTTACTTTCACCCTGTATTTTTGGCCCTGTGCGTGCAGAAGTGTTGCTGCTGTTTATACATGTGATTCCGGTCATATTACACCGCGAAGTGCTAGTTCGGTGTGCGGTATACGTGCATGCATATAGTCAGTATCCCATTCCCCAATGCATTTGAGCCATTCAATGTCTTGCAAACGAACGCAGTAAGCAGCGATGGCAAAATACATGAATTTTTTGAAAATTCAGAAAATGAAAAAAGAAAGGGAAAAACTTTTGTGTTTCTCCCTCATAAGTTTGCAGACGGTTGGAGAAAAAGATGGAAGTGTCTGTAAGGGAGCATTGACATAATTACCAGCCATGATCCATCCACACCTCTCATTATGGCAAACGCAACCCAACCCCGCCTCAACTACGCAATTCATCAACATATGACAACATTTAGCCCTCGCCAACGCCTCCCCTCGGCTTTTCACTCACCGCCCACCAGCATCGACCACAGTAGCGCGCGCGGCATGTTGGACAACTCGGGGCCCGCCCTTCAGGGCTGATGCCTTATATATGTTCGGTTCAACATTCACATAGTGACGTGGCTGGTGGCCCGGCGCGGGGCTCGGGGCGGCCCGGGTGCCCGCCAGGTGCCGGCCCGGTTCGTTTGTCCTTCAGCGCTGCATGGCCGCCGCCACCGCCGCCGCCGCCGCTGCCGCTGCCGCTGGAACCGCACGCGCCACCTTTGTCTTGCGCGCAGTCTGCTGCTGGAGTCTGCTGCCGGAGTCTGTTGCCGGGTTCTGCTGCCGGGCTCCGCTGCCGGGGTCTTCTGCCGGGGTGTGCTGCCGTGGTCTGCTGCCGGGGTCTGCCGCCGGGCTCTCCTACCGGGGTCTTCTGCTGGGGACTGCTGCCCGACTCTACTGCCGGGGTCTGCTGCGGGGTCTGCTGCCGGAGTCTGCTGCTGGGGTCTGCTGCCGGAGTCTGCTGCCGGACTCTGCTGCCGGGCTCTGCTGCTGGGGTCTGCTGCCGGCTGGGATACGGCGCTTGATGGCACGCTGCCAGCGCTAGCGTTTTAATGTGCGCGGATTTTGTTCGTGGCTCAGTTCAGAACAACTCCGATTTGCGCCAGCCGGCACATCCTCCCTTTCGGAACGCCCGAACTGAATTATGGCCATTCCAGTGCGATGAAAATGATTTTACACGATAGCCAGCCCAAGATAAATGTACCAAACGCATCGCAGATTCAACACGATATTGTAAACATAGCATGCATGAGTATACTTCTCTTCTGAAAGCAGCGTGATGCTTCCTGTCCTTTTCCAATCGGTTGGGACGTGTCGTTTACTCTACATCCAATCCAACCCTAGTAAATGTCTTTTGGCGGCCCCTTCTCCAGTGTAGTTTAATTCCGGTCTTTTAAACCTGTGCATTGTTAAGCAATCCGTAGATTAATTCAATCTGTGAAGAGGTTCATTTCGCCTGGATGTGAAAGCTGGCCTTCGAGCCGTATAATACCGTGCATCGTGGACGACGGATGCCAGCGAGTAAGCACTCGAGACGTGCTAAGGTGCATGCTGGCAGCGTTCAATGAAGCTGATTGAGTCTTGGAGTCGTCGTGTCACTCAGCGGTTTTAGCGATGGAGAAGACTGCCATTGCGAGTATTGGTGCAATCAATAAGATGTGACTACGTCAATAAAGTTCGATACGTTAGCAGGAGCTCGCCTATTTTATGATTTGCGTTAACATTGTTTGCTTTAGCTTTTCACTTTATGAAAGACTGCATGTTCCCCCTCTTCATCAGTTACAGTTTGCGACATAAATTAACGACGCCCTAGAATGGCAAATTTGCGAGCGTGTGAGCCGAGTGCGTAGTTTTGATGCCCGGTTTAACTCTACAACGTCTTCGTTCCAGACCATCAGTTGCTCCCTGCTGCCACTCAGATTCCCGTTAAGCACACAGGCACCTTTAAGCCTGTTTTCTACCTCAAGCCGTACTTTCATTCTCGCGCGGCCGTGACTGGGCAGATCCAACCAGTTCCTCCTGATCTGACCAGACCGGTGTTGGAGGCGGATTCTCTGACTTCCAGTTTCCCATTTCTGGACCTCACCGGGATGGGCTGCCAGATCTGGGTTGTCCAGCCCTCCCGCCGCTGGTCGGTCATCGGTCTGCGGCTGCCACTGCTGGCGACCCCGGCGCACCCAGCAACCAGAGCCTGACGTGACCCCGCTAGACCGGGCAGTCACCACCGGTCACGTGGGCCCCGAGGAGAGCGGTCGCGTCCAGGACCCGGTCCACCCGTCTGCTGTGCGACGCCTTGGTCCCCTGCAGCGGTCCGGCCGGTATCGGTCCCGCAGCACGTCAGCGGTCCCCAGCCAGCGGCGCGCCCTGGTCCGCTGCTGTCCCTATCCTGCCGCTCACGAACGCTGGTCCCGGTCAGACCACTGTCGAGGCAGCAGCGGCTGGCGGCTGGCGGCTGGCCGGTGCCGACTGGCGAGGCCGGACAATGACCTGCTAACCTATTCGCTGGCCGGCCCACTGGGGCCAGGTACAGTCACCGGGACGTACGCGGCCGACCGGCCTTGGCCACTGCGATTTGCTCCTGCCGTGCCGCCGCTGCTGTCCGGTCATCCTCTGCAGGCGGACCAGGCGGCCCGTTTATCGTCCACAGGGTAGTTGACATGTTAAGAGTCAGTTTGAAAGCAGCATACAATTGCTGGTGGAGAGAGCTGTGTGGCCAGGCGCTTCTGGCCGCCCGTCAAATAGCTTCACATGTGAGAACACAAAAAGGAACATCATGCACTGAAATCAAAGAAACACGGATACGATTCCGACAAA